ACTGAATCGACACTTTTGCGGACTCGCCTGCGAACTCGCCTGCGGACTCAGCTCAACCGCTGTCTCTTATACACATCTAGATGTGTATAAGAGACAGCCCCTCACCGGCCAGTCACTCACCTCTTACCGGCCAGTCACTCACCTCTTACCGGCCAGTCACTCACCTCTTACCGGCCAGTCACTCACCTCTTACCGGCCAGTCACCTCTCACCGACCAGTCACTCACCCCTCACCAGCCAGTCACTCACCTCTTACCGGCCCGTCACTCACCCCTAGAACACCTTGCGGAGTTCAGCGTTTTGACGTCCGTGGACTCTTCGATGCGCAGGCCGATGTACTGCAGTGATGTCATGGCCTGCAGCGTCGAGGCTTTGACGTAACCGTGGAAGAAATGCAACGCGTGTCTAGGGTTCAAGAAATCATGTTGATAGGTTAGACAGATTAAATATGCGCGGTTTTTAGCGCATTTTCTCATTTATGAAAAAAAGCCCTAATGTGCTCGTCATGTCCGTCCGTCCGTCTGTCCGTGATTTCACGTTTTCGTCAATTTTGAGAAAATGCGCTCTCTGTCACTCACTGCAGTGAGTACAGAGTTATATTTTTTCCTTACATTGAGATACAGCGATTGGTGTGAGTTACACGTTAGCCAGTAAGAACGAAAATAAATGCGGCTAAGGAAATATTATAAGAACATATTAATACATACCTACGTAGGTTTCCTGTAACTGAAGCGTAAGGATTCGTATGAGGTGCAGAAAATTATTCTTCGGAAAATGTTTCGGGCAAATTGTGGAAAGTAGGGATGCAAATAAAATATCAAGTCAAGCATACGTCGATTAGTCGCAATTGCTATTAATTTTGACATCTGAATTATTTTCATAGTACGCCATTTGCGATATAAGTTTCGACAATCTGATGCTTCATCGCTAATATATCGTTTAAACTCGCCAGCTTCGTTTGAACATTTTTTCAAATTTTATTATTATTATTATTTTTTTTTGAGGATGAGATGCTTCGGGTCCACTCAATCTCTTCCTTACCCATGACCAGCTTGTAGGAAAGGTTCCAGTCTGTGACAGTCTGTGGGCGGCGATTCTCGTGACCAGAAGGAGTCCAGGAGATGCAGGGTAATTGCACAGCCGGCCTCTGCCAGCTGGACAAGCAGGAGTGACAAATGTTGCACGGGTTCTGAGGCTGTGGACCACACAGTCACGCAGCCCTGGGGTTTATTGTTGGAATTTCTTAGGGTTGCCATGGCCTTCTGCGCCGCATACTCTCCTCGTATATCCCATTCTGTATTATTTGGCAGGAATTCGGATGGCATAAGTTCTATAATTCTTGCCTGCAAAGCTGCTTCCGCCCTCTGCGAACGGGGATGAAACACTGATATTAATTAGTTATATTGCATATTTTCTTTTTATATTCGCCATTGATACTTTATTGAAGTAGAAAATATTATTCCGGAATTTAATAATAATAGTTGGCTCATTAATAATTCTAAACAATACTCAAGGCCGCTGTCCTCAACAGGTGTCGAATATTAACCTCAAATGATCCCTGCAGGTCCGACGTCTGATCAATTATTCGCCGGCAGTTATTCTCCAGAGTTTCGCATAGCATATCACCATGAGATTTCATTCGAAAGAAGTTCCATAATTTTTCACACGTCGCATCAAACGATTCTTCTTTCTTGCAGTTCTTCATTGAATTTATAGCTTCCTTCAAATTCTGTCGTTGTTTCTCAAGGTTCTTCTTGCGAAGTATAAATTCCCTTTCAAAGGCCCGAATCTTGCGCATCAACTGCAAAGCTGAGTCGCAGTCCCGCACAGCTTCATCTATGCTTTTTATTACTTCTTCGCCATTTACGAAGAAATTCGACTTTTGGAGGTCACTGTTAAACTCTCCCTCCAAAAGATCCGCTGGCAGGATGGTGCAGTGGTTACGATGAGACTTCAAACATTTCTTACAGATAGCTTGCGAGCAGCTGGAGCACCAAAATTCATGCTGCAGTCGATGTGAGGAGCACACGCCATCTTGATTTTCACCAGCAGCAGCCTCCAAATTATCTGCATCATTGGGGATGAGCATATAACAGACAGGAAATCGTGCAGATTCCCCATCCCAAGGTTCTCTGCAGGATGGACATCGAGGCAAGTTCTCCGCGTTCGTGGCGGTTCTCCGCAATATCTTTCTTTCCTCTACTTGGTGGAGGCAGGGACCGCAGAAAACATGACCACATGGAAGGGATATAGGCCTGTGATCAGAGTCGTTATAAGTCTCGTTACAAACACTGCATTCGAGATATTTCATCTGTTCCATGACTTGAACATGCACAAGTTTTCCATGCAAATCTTTGTACAAAGTTAGAGAAAATAAATTATATTTCCCGAGCTACCTTAATTCGAAATCTGCTGATGGATTAAAATGCACGAGACTATGAATAAATTAACACAATCGCTGTTGCACGCACGATCAATCAGAAACTATAACCAATTCAGTGAATTATTTCTTCCTTAAACATTAAAGTAATAAAACCAGGAGCAACTTTATGAAACACTATCTAGGTAATACGCGCTCATAATCGTAGTATTGAAAATCCTGAAATTTCTTTACTTATGTTTGAATTTCAAATGATCTGCAGTTATTGCAGAACATGGACGTCCACCATGCATGGAGTGTACTTCATACCAAGGACGTCACATAAGTTCTATGGCGATACTGTAGCTGAGCAGCGTTCGGACGAGGTGATAGCGTCGACTGTGAAAATTATTTATACACATGCAGTTGACTTCCTATGCAAGGTATCACACTTAGTAGGAACAGCCGCTCAAAGCACGAAGCTGTGATCCTTGTTATCTAAACTTTGCAACAGTGATAAATAACCTCGTACATAGGCAACCAGAAGTCGCTTGAAAGACTATACGCTCAGTATTTCTGCTTTTCAAGAACTCCGTAAATTATTGTTAAGCCCAATTACACTGACAGAGAATAATTTCATTAATGACACATATTTGCCGAGCGTTTAACCGTTGAAAAAATATACTAACACGCATGAGGGACATCCAACAGCTGTTCTCGAGTGGACGTACGAACGTTTAATCGAAACTTTCACTCTGTTTTAGTTTACACTCGAAGCAGAACTCGGTCGCAATAAAAATACTAGACTAATAATAATACTTTACTAATACTACCTAAAGAGATGTGAATGATTATTAAAGATTGATGATCACCAGAATTATGATGAATGTTGAGCACCATGGTGGTGTAAGCGTTCAACCTTTTATAGGAACAGAGAAGGCCAGAGATGAAACTAAAATTGCTTTATTTTTCGGCATGCGATTTCACCTTTGTCCGTCCGCTTCTATCGCTTTTATTATAGTTTGGAACTCGTCTTCGAAACTAAAATGTCTTTCAACTCCATGAATTAATTTCTCAACTAGAATTAAGAATCGGTGATAGCACGACAGTCTCTTCTTTCGCTGAGGTATAGTGGGCAACTGCAATTAAAGGACCGCTGTTATCTCGATACTAAATCATTTATCAGTAGTTGCAAGTGCTAAGAAGTGAAGTATATGTGCACGCTTATAATTTCCTTTATTATTGAATGGCTGCATATGTTATTCAACAAGTGCGTCCAGACACGATCACTCATAATTACGTCCAAGATATTTTTACAAAACTTCTCTTTAACTTCACTTCTTGTTTGTCTGCTACAAATCTTATAATCGAAATTTAACATACTTCTACCTGTCCAATCAACCTGAAATTTCGCACACTTGCGTGAAGTCGGAGACAATGCATGAATCAATTGACATAATAAATAATATTTAAAATTAAAAAATTATATATAAAAAAATATTTTAAAATAATTCTTTTCATATGTATATTAAAAAATTCATTGTACTTTGGTGACATCGGAGACACTGGCCTCTAATGGACCCTCATGATTTCTGCCTTCCGGAACGTAGCCTTCAACACTCCTAGACAATCATATCAAGGCTGTGCGTCGAACCAGCCCTCGGTCGAACGGCCACTCGTCGAAGGACGATAAATTTTGGAACAGAACTATGCTATCTGAAACCTAACCTCAGATGCGGTGAACGTAAAATTACGTAATTTAACGATGCCCGCAACTCAAATTCGATCGGCGGCCTGGTGGTGCACAGCAGGATTTATGCAAGGCCGGAGGAGGACAAAGCTGAGTGGTTCACGGCTGATTGGTGGATGTCCGGAGAGATCCAAGGCGTTCGATTCAGGGCTTATTGGTACACAAAACTGGTGGTGCACGGCTGCGCTCCCGAAAAATTCATGATATTGTAAAGCAAGGATGTATTCGTGCTGGCACCAACGTATTACTCAATTACACTCATCAGCTTTTTTTAAATAGAGGCAGAGTATTTGAAATCAATCTGTACTAAAATGATTAAATCTCTATCTAAAACTCTCACCCACGTCGATATAACTGTCATAAATAAGTTTCCCAGTGATTATATAATAGTTTTACAACTGTTATATCCAGGGAAACCTAGGGGAACCTACTTTATTGAGAGTTGGTTGCATTGGTTGCTAGAAAAATAGGTTTCCCTAGGTTGCCCTGGATATAACTGTTATAAATAAGTTTCCCAGTGATTATATAATAGTTTTATAGCAGTTATATCCAGGGCAACCTAGGGGAACCTACTTTATTACACGTATTTCTACTGGGAGTCTTTTTTTCTAGCAACGCGTCGGTCGTTCATAATTTCACTGTCAAATGTAAGAGAAAACTTGCGCATGACATGAAAAAATATCAGAAAGCAAGGGCCATTACTCATCAGAACTCTGCATGATATTTGACTGTTATATTGGTTGGACCATTTTAAGTAAGAAATTTAGATCATGCATGCATATACACACACACACACATATGTATGTACTCTTAACTTGAAAATGAATTTTGTTACATTCGAAACGTCGATAAGATGTTATTATTTATTAAGCCTGCCTTTTGATGTACCAACGTCATCTAAAGAATTGTTTGAATCCTTGAAAATTGTAATGCACTGTTTGGTCAAAAATTGTACGCATAAAAACAATGCATATATATATTCAGTATTAGATGGCAGACTTTGCTTGTATATACATGTGCGATTAATGACCAGAGAATTCGTGGATTTAAATTATCAGAGAGTGGAACAACTCTTCAGATGACGTTGGTAGATGACGATGTGTACAGGGTCCGCCATATTTATGGCAACGCATGTTTTTTGTTATTTCTCAATGAAGCAAACATGTGCATTGTTTTCTTATTGGATGAGCTAGTAGCCAAGAATTACCTAAACAATTCTCAGACATATTTATTCAAAATGACAACCCTTATTTTTAAAGACGGCCTCCAATCTACGCGGGAAAGCTTCACAGGAGACACGCAGCATTTCTTGAGGGATCAAGGCAGGGTGGCCCAGTGGTTAAAGTTCAGAGTCCCAGAGACGCACTAGAGAGGCGCGGGTTCGATCCCAGCTCTGTGCGACAGTTTCTGGTCAGAATCGGCAAAGGGGGCCGGGCGGTTAAGCACAGCAGAATTGTAGCAGTTCGTTGCGAGTTCGAGACCTCAAAATGCTGTGAATGTTCTGCGATGTTAAGAATCAACGACAGGCCTACGGCCTAATAAACGCTGAAACCGCTATTAAACCGCTATTAAGTCCCATTCTCGTGTCAATTTAGACTTCAAACTATCAAAAGAATCATGAGGTGTTCTGCAGACCCTACTCTCCAAAATAGCCCACACAGAAAAGTCGAGAGGATTCAAATCAGGGCTTCTTGAGGACCATTCATTTTTGCTAATGAACGCTGGGATGTGACCCTGAATCCAGTTTTGGGTCATGTTTGAGCCATGTGATGGGGCAGAGTCTTGTTGAAAACTCCATGGTGAACCTGTCTCTTATACACATCTAGATGTGTATAAGAGACAGACCCTATGCTAATTTGTAGCATAATCTATATTTTCTAAGAAATCTATTTCTAAAGAAATTAAGATAGTCATACCTATTTACAATAT